GATTTCTGCATCAGATTATATAATATACTAGCATTTATCAATATAACTTTCTGATAACGTTTAAATTATACATTTTTATTATGTGCATATTAATAAGAGATCATAAAGTACACAAGATGTTCATATTAATTATATCACATCAGTTATATGTGTTCCCAATATTTCCGTAGAGTCATCTAAAAAAGAGAAAGTCCATTGTTCTTTCAGAATAAAGCTAAACGATAGGTGATACTTATTAGATAATTTCGATGCTATTCATCTAGCCGTTCCTTCCGTGGTCAAAAATGCCGAACCTATAATCGTTGAATGTCTTTGATTAGATAAAAAAACCTTTGAAATTTAATAACAATCAAGTTAATTATCAAACCTCCTCCGTATCCATAACCCTTGTTACAAAAAAAAAATTTTTTTTTTGTTAGGAATGATAATAATGCTTACACACGCAATCACTATTGTATTTATAGTTGTCTATAATAATCACCTTTGGACCGAACTCTTTAGAGTAACAAGAACGACAGTAAATCTTTCCATCTCGATCTGTCATATTAGTGGAGTCCAAAAGTTTACTGCAAGTCACGCAACGTAGACACAACTTATGATATTTCACACCGGCTCCCAAAACCTATCAAACGAATGTGCATCACATGTTATTCGTGGAAATACGAGCCGCATAATTCACAAAGAGGTCTTACCGCTTCAGCGGCGTAAACGGGTTTCGTACACCGCGGACATATATCATTGCTGGCAGGAAGAGTCCAGCTGCGTTTAACATTTCTCGGAGATTGAGGTCTTGTGCTAAAGAACCCGTACGAAGGAGATAAAGGGCTCGTAGGTGATTTTGGCGTAGATTGTGAGGATTTATCCGAATCTGCCGCACTTTCGTTATTTTTAGGTATGGGCTTATCGGTACTTAGAAAAGACGTCCCTGATGCAAACCCATAACCTTTTATTTGTTTGTTTATTGTTTATTGTTATTTTCTTTATTTTAAGGTTAATTAATGAACTGTCACAAGGTTAAATTAAATTGCAAACCTTTAGGACCAAAACGACGTCCATGACAGGTCTTACAATAAGCCTGTAACGAAATCGAGCATAACTTTTTAACGGGGTTCAATTGAACATAAAAACAAATACCTTCAATTTATACCTACCTCCCCTTCGTGCTCTGCGAGAATATAAGAGTCCAGTCGTTTCTTACAGTCCTTA